GTGTAAGTCAATAAGGTCCCATTTGTCTTAAAATGAATTCTTAACCTAGATTTTTCTGTTTTAAGCTTCCTATACCTATACCTTTTTGTATTCATCTTGCTTAGAAATTCTAAGCGGGGACCAACGCTATCTTAAATATCCATAAGCGTTGACCCTACCTTTAAATCCAGGTCAAGTCTTTAAAAACGCATATTTATGCTTGTTTACAGGACATTTCGCAACCAGTGTTGATACGTTTTGTTATCTTTCAAGTCTTCTTAACCTATATCATGGGTCGATTAGTACGCATAATTTCTGAACCTGTTTGTTTAGATCAAATTCAAACTAGTCGTCGACTGACTGTTCCGATTGACTGGCTCCGGCCCCGTAACAAACGCTTCTTTAAGGACTATTCACCATTCGTAATAAACATGTTTTTCTTGTCGTCATTTCCGTATTGCGTTTCGGATATTTTAATGCCGTAGTGTAAAATATAGTAATACAGGGTAAACAAAAGTACACGCGCGTAATGATGATATGTCAACAGCCGATATCGAGAATTTACTGGAAAAGGTGTAATCACGCGTACTTCATAAACAAAGATTCCGATACATAGACATAAACTGACTCACGAGAAGACACTGACATGAGACCACCGACTTTAAGCAGGTCATATATGAAGCGGACTGATGTGTTTTGTGTACCGACACCGACTTCACACATCCATATCACGTGCTTACACCAGTTAACAAGCTCGAGGTCGTTACGATTTTCGCTGTCGAGCGCGTTACGCTCTGTCGAGTAAATAGTTTTTACTAATGCATCGCACTAACTTCGTAAAAATAGTATTTCGTAAAAATAGTATTTTGTAAAAATATCAAGATCACTATGAAATTTTTCAAAGAAGACAACTCTCACCACGATCAAAATGATTGAAAATGTATTTTTTTATTATAAAGCCATTGTGTTTATTTCGTTCAAGTTTCCACTCTTTTGGCGCGACATTTTGTGTCCTGAAAGCTTGTAGATAATCACTTTTAGCCATACAATTTCGATAAAAAACATTTTGTGTAACGTGTTTTCTATATTTTGGGGTCAAATATTTGTAAATTGTAGGGTTAATTAGCAATGCTTTTTTAAATTTTTGTTGTTGTTATTGTTCCGAACGATGCCAGACACCATTTTTTTTTTAAATTGACGAAAACTCAATTATTCTGGTATATTTTCAGAAACTACCCAGTTTATAGGAATGCTTAGATATCATTTCCTCACCTCCACATAATTGCATTAAAATTATGTGAAAGTTTCAACGATTTCTGCTGGTTAATTGAGAAAGGTTTGGAGCCTCCTTAAAACAGTCGCATTTTTTAAGTTAAACATCAGGATTTTATAACACTCCGACGTGTAATCTTGTGTTGCAGTGCATCGCTGATCTCGAAAAGCTTTTCTAGTAGAACTCATCTTTTTCTTGCCCAACAGTCGCCATCTTTCGCAGCGTACAAGCAACACTACAATGGCATTGTATTTATTGATGTTAGTGTATTACCCTGGCTCTATTTATACTTAACAGAAACCATGGCGACAGCTAGTGAGACTGCCATACCAGAGGCTGTGGTGGCCATAGATTTCGGTACGACGTACACTGGATACGCCTACAGCTTCAAAAGCGAATTCCAAAAGTCCAACGATGCGCGAGAGATTTTTCATAATAGCTGGAATTCGAGTCTGGCAGGAAACCTTTCAAAGAAAGCACCGACTGTGGCTCTCTTCAAAGCAGATTATAAGTTTGACAGTTTTGGATACGAGGCAGAGGAAAAGTACTCCGACCTCACTGATCGAAAGATACACCAGGAATGGCACTACTTCAGTAGATTTAAAATGCAGCTTTTTGACAAGAAGGTAAATTGTTAAGATGGATCTTTTACTACTGTTTTCATATCTTATTAGAAGTTGCAAAGACGTAATACATCAATCAAACAAAAGCATGTGCATCAATCAATCGCTTATTATCTTTTAAAGTCGCCCGGCCAGAAGTGATAAAACCTTTCAACGACTTTTTCTGTATAATAAAGCGGTAAAAGGTGCTAATCAATATTTTTCAAATGAATGATCACAGAGTTAAAATATGTTAAAAACTTTGAACGACATTTGAATTAGCAAGACGCAAAGATTGATGATAATGTGCCCTTTGCAGTCTGCAAAAAGGTGTATCAAGTTAGTTCAAATAAATTCCTTGTCCTATTTCCAAGGTCATAGGGATAACATGTGTTAAAACCTCGAATAACCAAAATACCTTGGGTGCAATATTTTGCCAGTAACATTCTAAAATGAAGGAATGTTAAGTTGGCTTTCTGTTTATACATGAATTTGTAGTTGATATACAAGTTTTCTGTTAGATAACAAGTTTTAGATTTTAAATTTGTTACATTATAAAGGATTTCACAGGCACTTTTTCCCTTTCCAATGTATCCTACATAGTGATTGAAACATTTTAAATTCTGACTGCCTCTAATACCACTCGTGAATCCTAATTGGCGATATAGTCAGTACAAATTTAAATTTGTTCAAAACATTTGACAAATAAGTAAACGATCTAGGGTCATGATATTTTTCCTGTATATTAACGGTGTAAAGTGCTACATTTTATTACCTTTTTTGGACAAGAATCTTACCCGGAACCTTGAGGTTAAGGACCAGCAAGGCAAAACATTTCATGCCTGCGCCGTGTTTTCGGAAAGCATACGATTCATAAAAACTGCAGCGCTTAAAGAGATAAAGGAAAGAAACCCCGTGGCAGAAGAGGACATTCATTGGGTACTCACTGTTCCCGCCATCTGGAATGAACCTGCGAAACAGTTTATGAGGGAAGCAGCAGTAGAGGTAAGCACATTAATGCATGCTTGAAATACACAATATATACTGTACACTTATAGGCTCTCATAACGCACCAAATGTACCGTCCGCACAACTGTGCGGTTAAATCGATCGCCCGCTGTGCGTTAAAACGCACAGACATGTGTGCGATACTTTCTTTTTATTATTACAAAAATTGTAAAACTGACAAAATGGGGTGGAACTATCAGATATAGTATAAACTTTGCATGTTTCTGTTTGGCGGATTCATTAAATACAATGTGCTTTAATATAGGCGTGTATCGCAGATTTAGTCTCAACCTTATATTTAGCATTGGAAAGTCATTAGTGGCTACTATACAACAAGAAATAACTTAGCTCAATTCTACACCGGGGTTGTGTTCTAATTAATAAAAAATGAAATCACAGCATTTTGTTCAAACACTGCAGATTCACGAATTGAAGACTGATTACATATTTATTTTGATAAACGTAAACAAATTATTGCTTGTACATTATTCCATAGGCCGGGATTCCCGCGAACCAGTTGATTTTAGCTCTGGAGCCCGAGGCTGCCGCCATATACTGCCGAACTTTGAAACGAGGAACGTTCAGTTGTGTTTCTGAACAAAACGTGAAGGAATTTCTCTCTGCAGGGGGTCGGTACATGATCCTAGACATGGGAGGTGAGATTGTAATCTTTGTAGCACATGATATGAGAATAAAAATATTTATACCTTCAAATACATTAATCTCTTAAAATATAAAACATTTAATAGAAGCATTTAGCTGACGTGCATATGGTTAATCATATCGGTATGTTCTAGCTTGCAGTGAAACCGTTCACGATGCATTTTTACATAGCAAATGTGGTACTAAAATTAGCCAACAA